TATATTTAATTTAGTAATCCATTTTTAAGATATATCGTAAAGTTTTGCCTGAAGTAGTATACTCTGATATAAACTGTAGAATTTAACCTAGAGTAATGACTCAGAAGTGGTCTAATTTTAATAGATATTCTAGCATAGTATACTCCGGGTCACTCTACCCTATAAAAAATTTTTATCTGAATATTTCCATTATTTCTCCGTGGCCTCCATGAAAATGATACATTTACGGATATCCGTGTTAGGGAAATGAACATTTCCATGATTTAAGGTTATAAAATGGAATATTCATGGAAAAAATATGGAATAATAAACACGGATCAACATTTTTTATAGGGCTATTAACAGCCCTAATCTGCGATAAGAGATGTAACAGATTAATTCGAAGAAATCGCTTAATAATGATAATTTTGGTTTGTTTTAATGGGATGTAGTGTAATTCTTAAAATTGTATTACATACGTGGATTTCGAAACACTTTAATATAAAAAAAAAGTTTTTAGATACAATCAATTTCTCAAAATCTTAAATAGTTTAATCTGGTTTCTGATCAAAAATTCTATACAAGCAATTCGTGTAATAATATTTACAATAAAAATAAACACAAAGTTTGGTTTGTAGGCGTAACATTCTATTATATAACTATTTAAAAAACTTTTTTTAAACATTAGCACATGATTGTAAAAAATTTGTGTGGTCGCCAACAAATGTATTCATGAATTATATGTATCTGTATATGGTTAGTATTTCTCGCTTGGATAAACCTATGACTTCGCGCAAATCTTATGCTTTCATTCAATTTTCCTAATTAAAAAAATTCCAACAACTTCAATTTTATGCAGGGACTCTCTATATGGACTAACGTGTACGTACTTTGTAAATAAAATTGGACAACATTCATTATTATAAAATATAGGATATTTTGTTAGTAAATCAATTATAACCATTTTAACTTATATACTAATATTTAATACTTTGTCTCATGAAGGGCTATTCGGTGCATGGTTTCCGCTATATTATTATAAAAGATCGAGATTTTACACGCTCGTATCTACAAAATTTAAAATTTAATTACTATCCTAAAACTTTAGGTTTTTTATTGTTTTTCGGCATGTTTTGTTCTAGTATTATAATGGATGAAAAAGCTGGATATTCCAACAGACAAATTAATATTGGATCCCGCTTCAGTTTATACAGAAATGCTATTGGACAAAATGATCTTCGATCCTGCTACGAAAACGGCATAGGCACATCCGATAAGCAAAAGGCATTTAAACGGTATTTAAAATCCGCTGAAAATGGCGATTCTAATGAACAAAATAATCTCGGATTATGCTACGAAAGCGGCATAGGCACATCCAAAAATGAAAAGAAAGCATTTGACTGGTATTTAAAATCCGCCGAAAATGGCAATTCTAAAGGACAAAATAATCTGGGTTTCTGCTACGAAAACGGCATAGGCATAACCAAGAATGAAAAAAAAGCATTTGAGTGGTATTTAAAATCTGCCGAAAATGGTAATTCTGATGGGCAATGTTGTCTTGGATCTTGTTACGAAAACGGCATGGGCACGACCAAGGATGAAAAAAAAGCATTTGAATGGTATTTAAAATCCGCTAAAAATGGAAATTCTGAAGGACAAAATAATCTTGGATCCTGTTATGAAAGAGGCATAGGCGTAAACAAAGATGAAAAAAATGCATTTGAATGGTATTTGAAATCCGCTAAAAATAACAATCCTCATGGACAATGTAATCTTGGATTTTGCTACATACAAGGCATAGGAACAGACAAGGATGAAATAAAAGCATTTGAGTGGTATTTGAAATCCGCTGAAAATGGTAATTCTGATGGGCAATATTGTCTCGGATATTGTTTTGAAAATGGAATAGGTACAGACAAGGATGAATACCAAGCATTTGTGTGGTATTTAAAATCCGCTGAAAATGGCTATCCTGACGCACAACGTAATGTTGGATCCTGCTATGAAAAAGGCATAGGTATAGTCAAGGATGAACAAATGGCATTTAATTGGTATTTGAAATCTGCTGAAAATGGTAATTCTGATGGGCAATGTTGTCTTGGATCCTGCTATGAAAATGGCATAGGCATAGTCAAGGATGAACAAAAAGCATTTGAATGGTATTTAACATCAGCTAAAAATGGAAATTCTGATGGACAATGTAATGTTGGATTATGCTATGAAAGAAGCATAGGCGTAAACAAAAATGAAAAAAATGCATTTTATTGGTATTCAGAATCCGCTAAAAATAACAATCCTTATGGACAATGTTATCTTGGATCCTGCTATAAAAATGGCTTAGGCACATCTAAGGATGAACAAAAAGCATTTAAATGGTATTTAAAATCCGCTGAAAATGGCAATCCTAATGGACAATATTGTCTTGGATCCTGCTACAGAAATGGAATAGGTACAACTAAGAATGAAAAAAAAGCATTTAAGTACTATTTGAAATCTGCTAAAGGTGACAATTCTGATGGACAATACAACGTCGGAAATTGTTATAAAAAAGGTATGGGCACTCGCAAAAATGAAAAAAAAGCATTCGAATGGTATTTGAAATCTGCTGAAGGCGGCAATTTGAATGGACAATATTATCTTGGAACATGTTATGAAAAAAGTATAGGCACTCGCAAAAATGAAAAAAAGGCATTCGAATGGTATTTGAAATCTGCTGAAAGCGGCAATTTGATTGGACAAAACAAGCTTGGATTTTGCTACCAAAATGGCATAGGCACAGCCAGGGATGAAGACAAAGCATTCAAATGGTATTTGAAATCTGCTGAAGGCGGCAATTTGAACGGACAATGTTATCTTGGAACATGTTATAAAAAAGGTATAGGTACTCACAAAGACGAAAAAAAGGCATTCGAGTGGTATTTGAAATCCGCTGAAGGCGGCCATTTGAATGGACAATGTTTTCTTGGAACATGTTATAAAAAAGGTATAGGTACTCACAAAGACGACAAAAAAGCATTCGAGTGGTATTTGAAATCCGCTAAAGGTGGCAATTCGAATGGGAAACATAATCTTCAAATCTGCTATTACAAGGGAATAGGTACAGCCAAGAATAAAAACGAGGCACTTAAATGGTATTAAAATCTGCTAAATGTGCCCTCCATTCTTTTATTTGAACATAATAGAAACTAGCCCGAATAATACATATTTTCTCTTATATATCACTCTTATAATGAATAATGAACAAGACATTAATCTGGAAAATATTAGCCGAAATTCAAAAAATAATACCGGCAAAATTTTATTAACTTATATTTTGTTGAAATGGCCGACATTTCAACGACCATTTTATTAATATTTTGACGGTGCAAACCGTGATGTAGGTGTAATGCAGTATGATCGATATTTTTTGATTTTTACTAGTTTTATACAATTAGAATAGATGATCAACGATACTGTACAAGCAATATTCATTATATCAACATTTGCAATATTAACATTAAATAATACTGGTGACCCCCGTTAATATCAACCTCATTAATATCAATATAAGTCACAAGACAAATTTTTGTAAATTTTTAGATATCAAAATTCTCTCATATATATCAACTTTAATATAATTTCTCTTTAATATCACTATCAGCATGATTTGAAACCAATTCAAATAGGTTGATATTAACGAGGGCCATCTGTATTATTATCTTGAAGATATATGATATTAATAATGTACTAGCAATAAATTAAGAATAGATTTAATTGATGAAAATTTGGTATAATTTTTTTGCCAAATACCATGATCCCAAATAAAATTTCTGGCCAGCATTACCATATCAGCTGGCTAGCATTAACATAATAGCTGGCCTGCATTAACATACTTAATTAGTAATTGACATGTATCGAAATGTATAGTATATTGTTTCACATATGAGCAAAAGCAGGGAATGGGACTATATAATATATGGAGTGCCTCGTATTAAAAAGGCCCATTTTGACATATAGTTTATTTTGAGATAATTGAGTTTAAACGTTTGTTTTGATTTTCGGACTGATCCGGGATTAAGTAAATTTCACGATTTTGATTGGTTAAAGGTAGCAGGTGACTATCGGGTAATCTCGTGATGTGCCTGGCCTTTGGCAGCATCGTGTAATTTTTCTTTTACATTATCTCCATTTTTTATTATGCAAATCGACCTTCATTTATAATTAAAAAATGTCAATCACATCAAAATTTACATGAATCTAATAAAAACTCAATTTTCGAAAAAATTGCAAAATGGGCCTTTTTAATACGAGACACCCCATATAATTACAAAGTACCCACGAATATTATCGTATAGCGCTGCATATAGTACCCCCTGGAATAGTATCCCCCTATTTTTTGACAAGCGAATTGTGGCCCAATTTCATAATTAAAGACACTATCATTTCATTTGGTTTGATACGTCTAATAGAAGTATACATTGACCAATAACGATTATTTGTATTATCCTCTCATCTCTCAATATTTGGGGTATTATTCAATCTAGGCCGGCTTTCTTGAATAGTACTCGGTAATCAATTTAAAAATGATGGTACTAATCTTGCAAATTCCCATGCGGGCATCATGTGTGGCGCATTCTGTAGGCACGCATGTAAAGTTCCAGGCATCTTGGGCCAAGCACTTTGTACCCTGGTGCCTAGTAATTTAAACCAGGTCTTTATGTTTATGCATAACACAAGATACGTACCCAACATGTGTCTACGTAGCACTTTGTGCCTGCGTTTACAAAAATGCCCCACGACTTCAAGCTACTGTAGATAATTCGCATATACGCCCGTGCCTATGTTTGTGCCTTTTGTTAGACACGGACACATGCGGGCTTGCAAATCCCTAATTATTACCCGCTAATTACATAACACTTGCAACGAGAGAAAGGACTCCCATTGGCGGTACTTCATCTTCAATATTGCGCAGACGCTTGGCAAAGAACTCTCGGCATTGTGATTTTCTCATCCCACTAATCAATTTACAACGATCAATAGCAATGAGTTTTACATCAACATCACAACATAGTGGTATTAAACAAGAAACAGAGATTAAAGAAGAATCAGACTATGAAATCATTGTCCTTAGTAGTAGAAAGCAACCTAAGAAAGAACAAATTCGCAAGATTACTATTATTTGTTCGGATGATGGTGATAATGGAAAAACTAAAAAAAATAATTACACATCATTTAGGAGAATTATGATTTAGAGGGATATTATTGACATCAAATCTATGTTAGTATTTATTTATATATAGCGGTGTTCTTATTTTTGATAAACTATGACCTTTTTTTGCAAGTTTAAAACTTTGTAAAATTATTATACTACATTTATAGAAAAGAACGCGAATATTTCAAAGCATTAAGAAGCATATATAGTCTGTACTACAAACTGTTCATAAATTCCATGTACGTAATGTACATACGAAAATCTGGTTTCGCACCAGTTGCATTTATTGCTATCCAATTACAATTTCCTAATTTGTGTTGCTATTAATTGGAACAGGTGAATAAATGGTTCTTTATCGTTATGCGATAAACCAGTAAAATTTGCATTAACCAACTATGGTAAATTTCTTTGATATAAAAAAGGACTTCAGCTACCGAATTTATACTTGTAGTTTCTTTTCAATATGTCAGAATACATTTTTAAAGAATCATTGATTTCGGATGATATTCAAAGAGAATTACCGCAAGGTTATAAACTAAGACCTCTCGCAAAAGATGATTTTAATAAAGGTAGGGTTTTTTTGAGGAGAGGAGTGATTAATTAATCTGTTTTCAGAATTCTGTAAGCAAGTGCGCATCATTATATCAACACAATTTCCCTGATTTCCCTTTGATTCCCTTTATTGCTCTTTGCAAAAAAGATATGGTCTCTGCAGATCACGATGTCATGTGGTAATCGGAGATTCTATCGATTTTAAGAATTTATCGATTTCGAAGAAATATAAACGTAACCGATCGAAAATATAAACAACATACAATCTAAAATCTCAGAAATTTTCCCTGACCATCATGTCAAAAATTATGTGGCTACATCTTTTTGCAAAGCGCTATAATTTCCATTATTCACAGAATCAAGAAAATCGGGAAATCATGCGATTTCCCACAATTACAATGATGCATGCTTGCTTACACCTTTTTGAAATTTGTTTCCAAATATGCTATTAATTATAACCATGAACTAAATTTATGAATCGGGCCAGCTTTATAATGACCCATAGATTTACGTTTTTATAATAAAATATTTTAATATGTTTATAGGGGTTATTCAATGTTTAGAACAACTTACAGTCATTGGTGATGTATCAGAAGAAAATTTTATTGGTATGTTTCTTAGTTTCTCAAGATCAAATTATTTTGTGTCAAAGATTACATAAATCAAAGAGTTTTTTTTTGTTTTATAAAGAACGATTCGAAAAGATGAAAGAAGCGGGAGGATATTACATAATTATTATTGAAAGTGATGAAAACAAAGTTGTGGCAGTTGGGACTTTATTTGTCGAGATGAAATTCATAAGAGGTTGCGGAAAAGTTGGTCATATTGAGGATATTGTTGTACATGATTCTCAAAGAGGAAAAAATTTTGGAAAAAGGTGTGATATTTTATTATTTATTTATGTATTGTATGCATTCTTACTCAAAATTTTTAATTACATAAGAATCATCGAGCAACTTAAAGATATTGGCAAAAAAGTTGAATGTTACAAGATTATCTTGGACTGTAGTGAAAAAAATGTTCCTTTCTATAGGAAATGTGGATTGGAAACTAAGGATTTGCAAATGACATATTATTATGACAAGGAAACGAATAATCAAGATTGAGGGTTGGAAATTTTACACTGTTCAGGGAAACAGAATAATTGATAATTTCAAAATTATAGATCCTAATACTTAATCCTTTCCTCTTAATAAGTATTCATTATTTTACTAAATTTAGAATAAATTATATTTAAAGTCAGTTTTATAATTATTATTAACAGCAATAAAGTATATAAAGTATTAGAAATGTCATTCTAATTCACTGAATCGTGAAATTTGTTTCCTGCAATTTTTACCATTATCTTCCGTTACAGTTGAAGACAATATTCAAGTATACATTGTATTAGCCGACTTAGTCAACTTATCTGCTAAATTAGTCTATTCTTTAAATTTCAGATTAGTCTACTATTACTACGAGGAACTAGGATTTGGAATCGTAATGATTATTCTATACTAAATTATTATGACAACTTGTGTCGATGCTGAAATTTGGGTTCCCATTTTAAATTTATAAACCTATTAAATCCATATGTACTCTTTTTAACAACCCTAAATCCTCAAAAAAATTTCAGCATCAATCAATTCACGGTTATTATTGTCTTTTATTCTATTACCGTCATCATCGATGACGAGCACATTGGATCAGCTTCACTTCGGGAATGTTATATGTATGACTTTTTATCAATCTCTTTTTTTATTTACTTTGGAAAGTTATGGAACAATGTTTATTGTTTTTTTAGATCGAAAACATTATGCAATGACATTTTATCTCTTTATTTATGTAACAATTAGGCGTTAGACAATATACGAATATGCAATAGCATAACATTCTTGCAACCTCTAGTTTTTTTAAATACTGCCAACTATCGATATAACGGAAATCTGGGTTGGCCAAAAAATTCTGTTATAAAGCATACTCGTTATATCTATTTATCCGGCAAACTTTTATGATCATGAATTGCCATCTGTCTTGTTATTTTTTTCATGTGTTACGATGTAATTATGTTTATTCAACAAGGGTCGCATGTACATGAGCGGTTGCAGTGAGTAATGATCACGGGTAATGAAATATATGAATATAAATCATATGATAAATAGATTAACTAAATATATTAATTTATTTGATTTCGAAATTTTAATACATTCGAATTTTTTATTGTAATGTTTGGAGTCCTTTAGTATGTATTGACGTTAGTCTTTTATATTCATTTAAAGCAGCTTTTGGTGAAATTAAGTATTTTGGATCGAAAGTTATGATTCGGAGGTTTTTCCATGAAGTGGCACGGCTCATGGCAACATAAGCTTGACCTTCAGCAAAGATTGTTTCGTTAACGGAAGTAGTTATGTGAGGTAGAGTTAAACCTTGTACTTTATGGGCAGTTAGTGCAAAGGCATTTTGAAGTGGAAATTGTTTTCGTGATGAACGTTTTCCGTCTATGTTAAAGTAGGTTGTTTCTTTTTGGATGATGACTTTTGTTAGGGTAGTAAAGGTAGGAAAAGTTACTTCTATGTTTTGATTATCGATTATTTTTGTTATTATTCCAATTGAGCCATTATAGATATCATCACTGAAAAGTTTGTTATTTAGAAACATAACTTGGGCACCTTCTTGTAGATGTAAAGTATGAGGTAGATTTGTTGAGTGTTTAAAATTAGGGATTGAATGATTCTGATCTAAAAGTTTGAAATCAAGAGTATTTTCTGATACAGAAATGAGGGGTTCATTTGTTGTGTGGTCAAATGGAAGATAACTACATAAGAGTTGATTTATGTTGTGAGCAACTTGTCATATACTAACGATGTGAGTAGTATTGTAGAATTTGTCAAGATTATTGTTTATATTAATCTTAGATTGAATAATGGTTTTAGTTCTGTTAGATAAATGACTGATTCGTATTTCTTGTAAAATGTTATAAAAATCGATATCATCTCATTGACATTGTGAAGTGGTTAAGAATAGAGGAAAGAATAGTGACCAGATAGAGGATTGAAAGATATACTTTGGTTTTACTGGTAGTAGCTAAACTAGATCACCTATTATGAGAGTTAGTATTTCTCCAAAGATGGTGTTGTTGTTATGAATTTTGGCAAATATATCACTAGTAAAAGTAAATAGGTCTCCATCTACCATTGAGATTTCTTCGATTATTATTATGTCAATTTTTTTAATTTGATTTCATTTTGTTGGTTTGAGTGGATTAAGGTTTTATAGATTCCATCGTGACAATAGATTTTTAACAAAGAGTGTAATGTTTTTCCACTGATATTGTGAGCTGCAACTCCAGTGAGGTCATTAGTAAGTATTTTTTTTTTTTGGTTTGAAGAAAGGAAGTTAATTAATGTAATAGAAAGGTTTTGCCAGTTCTAGCTAATCCAGTTAGAAAAAAGTAAGGATATTTTCTTTTGGTTGATTATCCCTATACATTGGTTAGTGTAGAATAGATTTTGTATTGTTCAGTATTTAAAGTTAATAAGAATCAGATGTTTAAGTTTGGACAATGTTTTTCTAATGAGAGAAATTGGTTAAAAATTAGGTTGGACAAATCATAATTTGTAAGATTATATAAAAGAGATTTTATTATAGAAAGGTATGATTCTGATAAGCAATTTTGTTGTTCTATGTAACTTCAGCGAATTGATTCAGTTACTTGATTATATCTTATAAGAACAATGCCTTAAATTTGGCTCTATATATTTCATATTATCTAAGTAGTTCGGATTCAGATCTGACAGGAATTTTCATAATAAGGTGTTGGAAAAAAAAGGGCTCTCTGTCTTCTACCTTGTAAGAGATAAATCTTAATAGTATAGGTGTTTTTTGTTGAACAATCACTCTATTTTTGCGATCTCAACAGCAGAATAGGTTTGAATTTCGACCTGGTTGTCTAGATCTGATGGTATAATTGCTGAAATAGTTAGGATATGTAATTAAGTAGAAGTTTTTATGATTTGGACGATCGAAATATTTGTCAATTGCATCATCCCAATATGGAAGTTCATTGTTGTTATTATCATCATTATCATTGTTATTTGTTTCGCTTAGTAAATGAATTGGTTTAACAGATCTAGGTCTGAGTTCGAATAGTGCGGATGGAAGATAGATTACAGAGACAGAGCATTTTGTTAAGAGATACTGTAGTAAAAGGATCATTAATTCTATAGCATCTAACCTTCTTGCTATATGTTGTCTATATTCATTATCTTCAGAAATATCAAAAAGTTCTGAAGGTTCAGATTTAGTTACATATTTTGTTATATATTTAGTGAATTCATTTGAAGTAATATATTGAAAATTTATATGTTCTCTCCAGATTAACAAGGTTTCAGGATGGTATGGAATGAGCATTTGGTCTTCTTGTTTAGTATGATGATAGATGTAATGTAAGTTGTTTGAAGAGCAATATATTCTTTCTAATAGGGGTTGAAAAAAGCCTTTTGAACATTGTTCATTGGTGGAGTCATGTTGTCTACATCTGTGATCACAGTAATGTATCTGAAATATCATAACTAATTGGTATAAGTCGGGTTTTATAAGAGGATCTGGAATGTCAGCTCTAATTATATTTAATAAAATTAATTCATAAGTTGTTTTTTCAGTATAGACGAAACTATGTGTGTGAATTGTTCTTCTATTTTGAAACTCATCCTATTCAAAGAAGTGTTCCCATTTTTCCCAACCAGATAGAACAAGATTTTTCTACAATTTGTTATAAATATTATTTAAAAAATTGTGATAAAACATATAGACATATAAAAGACGATTTGTTGGCAATAATTAATAGTTATTCAGCATGAAGTGTCAAATAACTGAGTTATTTGTTGTATGCTATTTGATTGGTCGATTTAAGCACCAAAGGTGCTTAAAATTCGACTGATCAAATTATATAGCAAATAATGATAAAGTACAATAGTATTCTAATACTAGTAAAGCACGATAGCACTTTACTAGTATTAGAACAACTATTGTACCATAGTTATGAGTACTTCATACTTGAATAACTGGTTTATTTCGCATTTATATTTATTGGATTTTGCATACCAACTATTGACCAGGTTTGAAATTTTATTATTTTTATACACATGAGTTACGCACGTTGTTCGAATATATTTTAAATCTGGTACAGATTTAAAATAATTTGAATAATGTGTATAACTCACGTGCATAAAAATGATAAAATTCAAATGCTGGATAACAGTTGGTAACTGCAAAATCTGATAAATAGAAAATGCTAAATAAGTTATGATTATCTGTTGATAATAAGATTTTACGTAATTGTGGCCATTTATCTTCGACTATTATTATTGTATAAAAAATTTGAGATATCTGTAAGCTTGTATCAGTATATTGACTTGGTGTTGTTTTTTTTTAAAGAAGGAAGTGGTAGTCCTGAGATAAGAGGGAATTGTGGTTGTTTTTGATTCATTAAAGATAGCATGATTATTGTAGAAACTTTTAGCAATCAAATTGACTCTTGTTTGATGATGTTCTCAATTGACATTTTGGATAGATAGTAGTTAGTGTTAATTTTGAAAATTTTATTTTTTTTTAAAGTAAGATATAACCAATGAGGCCAATACCAATGTAATCAAAATTGTAGATCAGGACATAATATTCTGAGTTTGATATATTTATCATAACTATTTATGGATGATTAAATATTTAGTTCCTTTTTTATATCTTCGTAATGACCTCGGCCTCTTAGAAATAAATCAGAAAAAATTAAAGCTTCTAAATCAGGATTATTAAAAAGGATTCGAAGATTTGTATTATCATTATTTATGATAAATCCGGCTATTAGACAGTTATAGTTAGCATCTTGGTTATGGATTTCTTGTAGAAAAGAAATATTTAGAATTATTAAATCTGGAGGGTGAAGAATTTCATTAGGAAGAATACTTTGATATATATTAAAAGACAATGTATGATTATTAATTGATTGTGTTGCTAAAGGTAAGAAGATGAGTACGCTACTTTCTGAAAATGGATGGGTAGTGATTAAATTAGAATGATATTGTCTAATAAGAGTATTATTTTGTTTTAGCCAAGTTGAAGCGGGATTAAG